CTGTTTTGATTACTGTAGCCTTGTAGTATAGTTTGATATCAAGTAGTATGATACCTCCAACTTTGTTATTCTTTCTCAAGATTGCCGTGGCTATTTGGGGTCTTATGGGTACATATAAATTTTAGGATTATTTGTTTTAGCTCTCTGAAAAATGCCATTGGTATTTTGATAGGGATCGTATTGAATCTATAGATTGATTTGGGTAGTATGGCCATTTTAATGATGTTGATTCTTCCTACCCATCAGCACAGTAAATGCTTCCATTTATTTGTATCTTCTTCAATTTCTTTTTTCAATGACATAATTTTCTGAGAACAGATCTTTTATTTCCTTGGTTAATTTGATTCCCAGTTACTTTATTGTTTTTAATGCAATTGTAAATGGGATTGTTCAGCTTTTAAAGATTGTGATATGTAAAGTGTTCTCCACAAAGCCTTTACCAATTTGCACTCCCATGAGAAGTGTGTTAGAGGATTTTCATCAGTCCATTCCAACATTGTGGATTACTATTTTTCAAAATCCTTTCCAATTTGATAACTAAATGATATCTATTATTGTTTCAATTTGCAATGATGATAATTTTTCATATATTCATTTCTTATCTTACAAGTAATTTCTTGGTTGCCGATTTACAGGTTAAGTGCAAAAGTATATTTAGATTTAAGATAAATCTTTGGGTATAACTTCAGATGCATAAATGTTCATACTTTTATTTTTTATGAGCCCCCATTCTTCCACTTGTCTGATCTTTCTCTAAGTAGTCTAGTTTCCCAGACAGGATTGCACATGTAGGCACAAGCTGAGAAAGCCATACCTGAAAAATGAGTACATGATCAGCACTCAGTATTTCCATATTTCTCTTCTGATCTTGATCTTGGTAATTTATTATTCAATGATGTAACTGAAAATTCCAGGTGCTGTTCTATAGTTGTTAAGGTTTCATAGGCTTCAGAGACCCCAAGTGCTCAAACAATGTCATCAGAACTCTCTGATCTTTTCCCATCTCTTGGGTTTTGTTTTCCCTTGTGTTGGCTTTATTCTTAAATAGACTGTTTCACTATGACAGCAAGATGGCCACCAGCAACTCACAGCTCACATGTTACTCAGAGACAGCAATTTCAAGGTGGGAAGAAAGTGCCTCTTTTATAATGGCTTCTGAAAGAGTCCTTTGGAGAGTCCTGATTGGTTCATCTTGAACCATGCATTCATTCTCAAGGGAAATACTTGGTTAGTCAGTCTAAGTCAAGGGCATACTTCTGTGTGGAGCCTAGTGATTGACCGCTCTTGGGGCAGGGGTAGAGATGGGATGAAGTTGGGAGTGAGGGAGATGTCAGTTCTGAAAAGGGAAAGATTCTAGCAGACAAAATCCTAACAATATTCTCTATAATATAGCCACTCAGAAAAAGTGCTGAGTAGGTGTAGGGGAAGGGAGAAAGCAAGAACCTTGAAACAGAATTCTGTGATTACCAAAATTGTTTTAAATCTTTTTTTTTTTTTTTTTTTTTACTGTGGCAAAATAGACACAACATAAGACATACCATTTTAACCATTCTTAAGTGTATAGTTCTGTGGCATTAAGTACATTCTCACTGCTGTGCAACCATCACCACTGCTCATTTCTAGAATTCTTTTCATCTTGCAAAACTGAAACTTTGTATCCATTAAACCATTCTCCATTCTTATCTACCCTCAACCCCCAACAACCAACATTCTACTTTCTATCTCTATGAATTTGAGTATTCTACTTACCATATATAAATGAAATCATACAGTATTTGTCCTTTTATGTTTGACTTATTTATTTTATTCAGCATAATGTCTTCAAGATCAATCTGTGTTATAGTGTATGTCAGAATTCCCTTTCTTTTAAACGCTGAACAATACTCCACTGTAGGTTTGAATTCTAAACTTCTATAGTGGGTAGTGGAATAGATGCAAGAGCAGAAAAGATAGTCTAGAGGGGAAAGAAAACATGGCAGAGTGAGAGACGTCCCCAGATCTCTCCCTTTGAAATAACAATAAGCTGAACATCTGAAACTCAACAAAAAACACCCAAACTGCACACCAGCAAGTCTGAGCATGGGATCTGCGCATAAGATCTACCACATGTCAGAACCCCGGGTGTCAGGTAATGGACTGAGAGAAACAAAGAAGCTGCCTCTTGCAGCCACCAGAGCTCCCTGTAAAAGGAGGGGAAGGGAGAAGGTGCAGCAACTTCCCTGAACAGCCCTGCCTGGGAGAGTTTGTGAGTTCCATGCAGCCAGTGGCAGGGCCCAGTCACAGGGTAGCACGCAGAGAGGTGGACGGCAGAGAAACAACAGTTGACTTTTACTGGCTGAGACTGAGCCGCAGCCCCCAAAATTGAGGCTGAGCCGCAACCCCCAACCCACAACCCAGAGGGCCCCTCCCCCCATATCCTCTGAGACTGATCACTGCGGAGCCCCAGGGGAATCTGAGCAAACACTACCGAAACTGTTGCTAACACTGACAGGGACTGAAACTGAAGGTAGCAAGCATGGTTAAATGTCTACAAGAAAATAAAGGCATTATATAAAGGCATTATTAAGTCTTTATATAAAGCAGGGATCCAAGAGGTTTAGACTCCACCTACTGGAAAGCAGAAAAGATAGTCTACCAGAGTAGTAGAAAAACACTTCGAGGAAATTTTCACAGGAGCTAAAAGGCACAGAGGTTTTCAGAAAGAAGCGACCAAAACACTAAATGCTGCAGAGATCAAGGTCGATAATGACTGCAAATTGATCATGGGATTTGTTGATTAGAAAGTTATTAATGACCTTAGCAACAGTTGTTTTGGTGGAGTTGTGGGGCTGAATCGTGATTGTTTGGGGTTCAAGAGGAAGTAGGAGATCAAGCACAAATCAGTATAATGAATTCTTTAAAAAAAGTTTAGCTCTTAAGAAAAGGAAGAAGACACAGTGGTAAACGAGGGGAGAAAAGATATAGTAGATGGCATTGGTGGGAGGAACTCAATCATATTGGTATCCTCAAAGGAGTGGAAAATATAGTAAAATATGGAAAGGAAAGGAGAAAGGTTTGATAGTAGAGTGCATTATAAGATGAGGTGGTAGGGATGGAATGAGAGTGGTGCAGAGTGGGGATTGACCTGTTTTCCCAAATAAAATGAAAAGTTTATCAACTAAGTATGTTGCAACGAACTTTATGTTTCTATAGTGGCTCTTAAGTGATCTGTTTTGTTGCAGATCCACCAGATGTTCCTGACAAGGTCAACTGTGTCATTTATGAGTATTCAGGCAACATGACTTGTACCTGGAATACCGGGAAGCCCACCTACATAGACACAAAGTATGTGGTATATGTGAAGAGGTAGGTTCTTTCCTCAACACTTTAACACAAACAAATCCACTACAGTTCAGCCAGTGTTCTACCTCCAACAGGGATCCGAGGAATCAGCCTCAAACATTAAATAAACAATCAGATGATCTCCAACTCCCTAATTATGATCAGTGAAATTGCCAAAACCCTTTTCGGGCCATTAACATTTTCACTTCATGGGGCAAGGTGCTTGATAACCTTTCTAAACTTTTTATTCATTGGTGAACAAGGGCCTAACGGTGATACAGCATGACATAATTTTAGAAGAACCTTTCCTTTAAATCCCAGAGCAAACTTCTTCGAGGGTTTAGGTAATTTACTCAATCTCTCCGACTTGCCATCTCTTTACTTTAAACTAGGCCTAAACCTATTGCACAGGTTTGTTCTGATTATTTAGGTGGTATTTGGCCTTTAAAGGGTGCATCACTGTGTCAGGTCCATGCTTAGCACTAAATTCATGAAAACTATCATTATTAATAATGATCCCCCTCCCCAAACTTGAATTTGGTGTCCATATAGGCCAATTTTGGTGTCCATATAGGCCAACTTTCCTGGTTTGCTTGAGTCTAGAGGGAGCTCCTGGGATATAAAACTTTGCATTTTAAAACTGAAAGTAATAATTGAATGAAAGTAATCACTTTCCACTTAGAGTTGAGGGAGGCTTTGTGGAATATGTATTTAGTTTGTATATTCAGAAACTGCAAAATAGAAAATAGCTGACGTGAAAATAATCCTTCTATTCTTCAATGTACATAGTGCAAATCTTTCTACATTACGTTTAAACTATATCCATGTACATCAGTCTATTTTGGATTCCTCTGCTAGTGTTAAAAATGGAAATAAAACCATTAATTTGAAAAACGTTGTGAGCAAACTGGGATAAGTTGGTCACCCTATCAATATTTCTTGTTTTGTTTATTTGTTTGTTTATATATTTTTAATTTTTCAATTACAGTTGATATTCAATATTATATCAGTTTCAGGTGTACAGCATAGTAGATAAACATTTATGAGACTTACAAAGTGATCCCCTCTGATAAGTCTAGTACCCACCTGACACCATACACAGTTATTGCAATTTTATAGACTACATTCCCTAAGCTGTACTTTACGTCCCCATGACTATTTTGTAACTGCCAATTTGTACTTCTTCATTCCTTCACCTTTTTTACCCAGTCTCTCAACCTTGCTTCTATTTGTCAATCACCAGTTTGTTCTCTCTATCTATGAGTTTGTTTCTGTTTTGTTTGTTTGTTTTGTTTTTTAGACTCCACATACAAGTGAGATCATATGGTATTTGTCTTTCTCTGTCTGACTTACTTCACTTAGCATAATACCCTCTAGGTCCATCCATATTATTGCAAATGGTAAGGTTTCATTCTTTTTTATGGCTGAGTAATATTCCATTGTGTATATGTACATTTTCTTTATCCAATCGTCTATTGATGAATACTTAGGTTGCTTCCATATCTTGACTATTGTAAATAATGCTGCAGTGAGCATAGGAATGAATATATCTTTTTGAATAGTACTGTATTAAAGTACAATTTTTTCTCTCAAAACTTTCACAAATTACTTATTTAAAAAAAATTATTGGACCCTTACTGTTTGCCTCATACTGAGCCAAAACCTTTATATGTGTTCCCTCATTTAACCCCTTACACGACCTTGTGAGGTATGTAAGGCTATTTTTCCAATTTTTGTAGACAAGGCAGCTGAGGCTTAGCAAGGTTAAGCAATGCATCCAGGCCATGCAGCTGCAGAGCGGGAAGGGTAGGATTTGAACCTAGCTAGCCAGACTGCCTTATTCTTAATTTAGTTCTTTTCTGCTGAAGTGGCGTGGAGAAACAAACCACAAGGCATATTTAGTAGATGCTATCCAGGTCTTATCGTTTGAAAGAGAAGAACCTTCCAAACTTGCTCTCCTTCGTCACCTATTAGATACTCAGAATAATTGTGATTAAATTAAATATAAAAAGTAACACCCTTTCATTCAAGAAATTCCAGGTAAAAAACTAGACATTTTTATGAATACATTGCTAACTAAGCCTAGAATTACTGTCTGCATGCCACAGGCAAGAAGCTCACACCTTTCATTCTGAGCAGAGATTAAACAGGGCATGGTCAGGTATTGAAGAGATGGATTATGGAAACACTGAAAAATGAGTTTCATTGACAAGTAATACACAATATGTTAAGTAATGTGCTTTGTATGTACTTCATGTGCATTACATCTTCAATCCTCAACTTCGTGAAGTAACTGTTATTATTGTTCCCTTTGACAGAAGTCTTGGAGAGCCCAGATTACTTCTCCAAAGTCACTTGGCTAAGACATAAGGGAGCCAAAATTCTAACAAGGATCTCATTGCTAAGTTCACTTGAAGAATGTGAAAATGAGAGCAGTATGAGAAGACAGGTCAAGCTCACTGAAAAAATAGGAAGTGCTAGATTGACAGAGAGAGCATAGTGCCTTGAGGATTTTTGCTGTCTCCTGGATCTTTTTCCTATCTCATGGCTGATCTTGGTTGGTTGGTTGGTTAATTTTTAAAAATACAAAAATATATACTTTGTTGAGTATAATTCTCATACTATATAATTCACCTTATTTAAAGTGTACCATTCAACGATTTTAGTATATTCACAGAGTTGTACAACTATCAGCACCATCAATTTTAGAACATTTTCATCATACCAGAAAGAAATCCCATATCCATTAGCCATCATTCCCAATTTTCCTTCAACTTTCCCAGCCTTAGTCACCCTCCTAGAATTTGCCTATTCTAGAAACTTTATATAAAAAGACCATATACTATCTGGTCTTTTATGACTGGCTTCTTGCACTTGGCACGTTTTCAAGGTTCATCCATGGTATAGCATGTATCAGAACTTCATTTCTGTGATAGCCTAATATTCCATTGTATGGATATACCACACTTTATTTAACTATTTGTTAGTTAATGTAATTTGAATTGTTTTCACTTTTTGGCTATTATGCATAATACTTCTATTAATATTCATATACAATATTTTAGGTAGACATATATTTTAACTTCTCTTGGGCATATACTTAGGATTAGAATTACTGGGTCACATAGTAATTCTGTTTAACCTTTTGAGGAACTGCCATTCTGTTTTCTAGAGCAGCCACACCATTTTAGATTTTTACCAGGAGTGTATTAGAGTTCCAACTTATTTGATTTGTTTTTCCATCAAAACCTGACTGGTTTGTGAAGATTAATGTAAAGCCATTTTTTTTTAAAAATCATCTAGAAGATACTATAAATAATCATTTTATTTATATTATTTTCAAGTAACAGTAATTTTGGATGGATTACTAGAAAGAGATATTAAATATGATCTTAAAACTAAGACTAATTTTCTAGCTGTTGTACATATGTCAATAGCAAATTCACTCATTCATTCTAACTGGAATATAAACTCTGTGGGCAATAATTTTTGTTTATGGTTCACTGCTGTATTGCTTGAGCCTAGAATGCTTGGCACATAGTAAGTTCTCAATAAATATTTGTTGAGTGATTATTCTAACTGATAACTAGAAATAAATATTTCCTGCATTTTCCCTTCACAGTCTAATTCACAGTTAAAAAATAATAATAAAAGGTCATATATATTAAAAAAATTTTTTTACTTGTCCTGAAATCCATGAGTAAATTATAGCCCAAATCAGGCAATCCTAACTCAAATTCTGAATTAATAGAGTCCAGATTAATGAGATCTTAACATATTTTAAAGAAGACATGAAAGATTAGCATAAAAATGAATGTTCTCTTATAGAAAATTCAAAGAATGAGCTCCTATAAACACAGATAAACACCTTTTCATCTCATAATTAAAAACACACCCATGAGTTAAAAAAAAATTAGAGAAGAAAGTCAATTTTTCTAACTAGCAAAAAGATCTTTCTTCCCAGGAAAAAAAGCTGACTTATAATGAATTTTGTGGTTGAAGTAGAAAGTATCAGATTTAAAAGGCTCTCCTGGATCCTGGGTTCTTTGTGTATTTTCCACTTTGGCAAATAGGTAGAGATCAGCATTTACGAAGTTTCACTTCCAACTCATGTGGTTTTATTTTCCAGTAAAATCATATACTCTGACTGGCATTTTATCTCAGCCTGCCTACTTGTTTCACCAGTGGCAGTAAAATGGTGATCCCTCAAAAGCAGTGTAGGGGCCCTCAGAGATTTCTTCTGGTCTTGGGTTGAAGTTATAAAGTAGAGCAATCGTGCCTGTATTACTTCAAGAACTTTCTCCTCAATACCTTTGTAGTTACCCCACTAGCAGAGCTTCATGGCCATTCACATACCCTCCTGTGCCCTTCTGTAGTTTGCTATGTATCAATAAGTGGTAATAGAAAGGGAAAAAATGGACCTCTGCTAATAAGTATCTCCATACTGTTGTCCTGATGCCCTTTACAGTTTCATGTAAATGTGTTCATTCTTTATCTTGGAAACTCTTTTAATGTCTGGCACAGTGCCTTCTACTCAACAAATTCTTGTTGAATGAAAATTAATGAATGATGGTGTCCCTTCATTACAATCAATTCAAGTCAACCCAATAAATACTTATTTAACATTTTGTGTCTTCTTAGCACTGTGTTAAACTCTAGAGATTAAAAAAAAAAAGTAGACACCATCTCTGTCTGAAAAGTAGACACCATCTCTGTCTGTGTGAAAAGCTTATAATTTTTTCAGAAAAACACCAATGATGGAATTTTCAGACACCATGAAAAATTAATAGGGCAATTATTTTTAGATGAAATATCATTTTAGACCCCCTAAAATCAATTGCCTCTTCTGCTGTTTCATAAGGTCTGCTTGTCTTCTTTTTTATTTGCATATTCTTAACAGCCAGAAAGAGTCCTTAGATATGATTCCAAATATTTTTAAGCTCTGATGTTGTTTCAGTTATTCTTTTAGAACTCAATGAGCAGTTCACATTTTTAAATCTCTTTTCTCATCAATTCTGTACCTG